TAATTTTAGAATATGAAGAAATCAACTATTTCATTCAAATTTGGTTAAGATCTATAGATCTACTTATCAAGACGTACGCTATGAAATGTATTCAATTTTCTCGGCCAAAAGTAATACAAATTACTAATTCATTTACATGCTATGTGTACATTAACTGATAATGTAATATAGGGATTTGATATTTTCGGTAGCATCCATTACTAGGCCTAAATAGTAATTGGGTGTTAAGCTGTTCCAACATTCTCGTAAGTCTACGGGGTGTAAACTTAACATGTGCATGTGCTATATTACAATTTTTGATGTTTTAAAATAAATTTATAAAAAGAAATATTTTAAACAGTTAATTTTGCAACACTCGCTTCACCCATTTCAAGAAATATGCTCATTAAGAAAAGCACACACTTATAAAGGTTGCACACGGAAATTTGCGCTAAGAGAAAAGTGCACACACAGAAAAAAATTTGTTAAAGAAAACGTGTGCAAAGAGAAAAGTGCGCACACATAAGAGTGCGCAGCTAGAAAGTACTAAGGTCTGAACGTGGTGTAGGCTTCTAGCAAACAGTTCAAAGCCATGGGAATCTCACTACAACAAACAGATGAGACTCCTGAAAATTCACAAAAAACACGTTTTAAACAAGGTTTCTGTCAAGTATATCTTTAGAAGGAGAGAGATATGGGTGGGGCAATGGAGGCAGGAGTATCCCCCCCCCCTTTCCAGGAGAAATAGAAAAAAAAAACATTTATTATACAAAATATAAAATTCAACAAGTATACCCCGGAAGTTTTAAGTGCCTCCTGCCGGGAGTTTGACCCCCACTCCTCCACCATTTGTGAAAATGTCTGAAAGAAACCTTGGTCTCAAACCAGATTTAAAACGTCATGAAAGCAGACAAGGATTGAGACATGTCTTAAAACAGACCAGACTTGAGACATGTCTTAAAACAGACCAGACTTGAGACGGCACGAACAGTAACCGATCTGTATTTGAAGGGCGACACCTGATATTTTATCTGATGCTGGTCTGAAGGATGTCTTAGAAGCAACGGGGGCGGTTAAGATCAGGAAGGTGGGGGGGGGGGGGGCGAAGGGTGTGGGACGGATGTGTCGGACAGTTGTGAGGGTAGATAAAGTAAAACTATTTTTTTTTTGCCGGCATTCTAAGAAATACGTATGGTTAGTTATTTAATTATTTCGGACGGTTTATAATTTAAATAACGAAAGTCTACGTAGCATGGTTTCTTTGGATTGATTTGTGTTAATCAGCTTTTACTCACTCTAAAACTAGAACTGACTACCCAGACATATTATGCTCAAGCGTAATGTCTGATCACATAAAGTTAAAGCGGTCATTGCCTAACCTTGTCTCGCACTTTACACAGTTCGCAGTTTCGCACCTCATAGATTTAACAGCGATTTAAAAAAAAAACATGAGTAAAAATGTTATTTAAAAAGACATCTTTCTGCATTTTTACGTTAAGGTAGTTCAGAAAAAAATATTTCCAAAATAATGTATGCTCTCCATTTTCCCAGAATCTTCTTGGGTGGGGGATGGGAGGAAGGTCGGGTAAGGGTAAGGGTGGGCGGACGGACGGACATACACCAACCAAATAGCGCTGTTGCTCTATCACAAACATTTTCCCTTAATCTGGTTTAGAATATATTATTTAGGCCTAATCAGACAGTTGTTATCAAAAGATAAACATTGTCTACACTTACCGTTATGTTGATATTATTTTTTTAGGTCTTTGGTGCTAAATACAATAATCGAACTCGACGCTTGCAAACGTTTTGTACATTGTGACGTCAGAAAGCGCAGCTCTAGCCAATTTATATCACGTGACTCCTCTCTCTAGCGACGACAGAGCTGTAGTTGTAATGAAGCATAATTTTAGCCATTGTCTAAACAGGTTTTCAAAGTTTTTTTGAGTATAATTAATATATTTGGAATCGTAAACATCGAATCAAATTATCTCCCATGTTCCAATTGTTCAAGGGAGTTCAATTAAAATTAAATTTAAACAATAAACATAATAAAATATCAAACAAAACAGAAACAAAACAATAACGATAATAATTGCAATATCAAATAATCAACAAAATATTTCTGAAATTTGATCGTGCTACATATTAAAATACGTAAAATTATACTATTAAACAATCATAAGCTTTTGCCAGAAATCGGAAGTTTTATTTTATACATAAATCGTTTACAAATGAACTTTAGGATACATTTTAATAACTAACACTGTAGTTTTTAGATCGCTTCAATTAAGGGACATATAAATTAAAAATAAATATACAAGTTACATTTAAACTAGTACGTAAACACACCCTTTGGCCACCAACCCTCTATGAGTATAGCTCAAAGGTCGGCTACCTTTAATGACGGAAGAACCAAAAGTTACGATCGACACAATTTCAAAATTTTAAAAGAGCAACTGACATTATTATGCGCATTTCACTAGTGGAAAGCATGGAAGCATATGGGCTTTTATGTATTAGGATGCAGTTGTTTGACCGTCAGTCCAAATCGTGTTGTTACATTTCCACAAACCAACCCTCGAAATCTGGTTTAGAATAAATTATGTTATTAGACGTTTATTATTGAAAGATCACCATTGGTTAAAAATCAGTGTTTCTTCCAGACTTTTTTCTCCGGGGGGGGGGGGGGGGGGAGACTTGATATTTTCGGGGGGGGGGGGGGAACACTAGTAAAAGTATATGTTTACTATATAAATTCCGCCCCCCCCCCCCCCGCGAAGAGATGCCTGGAAGAAACTCTGGATATAATTATAGGAACCTTTTACTTTTAAAATGTCACTGGCGTTAAATATGAAAACGCAACTCGACGCCCGTACCAGTTTTTAGTGTGACCAGTGAGATGTCGCAGAATTCCATCACTTGATTAATATCTTCACTTTTTTTTTAGATTTAGAATGTTAAGAAACAAGACATCAAGTTAAAAATAGATTTAGTTAAAATCTGAACAAACGATTTTTATTTATTTTATTTTAAAAACTCTTGCATTGTTATCAGCACTTTGATTAAAGAAAGATTTTAAAAAATCAAAAGTTTATAATATAAAAAAAATACTATTAAGGTATAGTGAGTGCAACACAAAAAAAATTCGATCGTTAACTCCCATGTGTAAATTCTTGTGTGACAAGGGAGGTAACATAAAACTAAATTCCCATATTGAAGCAATCTGCAAAATCAGACATAAAGACACAGTAATGGCTATATGTAAACTAATAAGAAAAATAAAACAAATATTTTTTTATGAATATCAATCAAGTATTATGTTTAAAATATACATTTACAAACTAAAATTATTATATATAAATATCAGAGACAATAGTCATATGTTATATATTTCCCTATATATTAGTAAATGGTAGCTAATCTACAATCTTTAAGTAAGTCCTATTTTCTTGTATTTGTCGCCTCCTTTAAGATAAGAGAGTTTGAAAAATTAAAAAAAAAAAATAAAAAAAAATAAAAAATAAAATTAAATACAAAAATTAAATAGGATTTGGAGCTTACCTCATGGCCGCCCCTTTTACCCACTTACATTTTCCCTTCCATTCGCACGATGTTGTGGCACATTAGGTCACGAGACTAGCTAGCAAAGACAAACATAGCTCCATAGTCTGATGGGCGACAGAAAATACAAAGAAAAGCTTCACTAGTTAGAGTCTGAGAGCCAAGGCAGATCCACCACCATGACATACACCACCATGATATACGCCACCATGACATACACCACCATGACATACACGACATAGACATACACGACATAGACATACACCACCAAGACATACACGACATAGACATACACCACCATGACATACACCACCAAGACATACACGACATAGACATACACGACATAGACATACACCACCAAGACATACACGACATAGACATACACCACCATGACATACACAGCCCGGACGTACAATATACACAACACGGCCTTACAACATACACAACACGGCCTTACAACATACACAACACGGCCTTACAACATACACAACACGGCCTTACAACATACACAACACGGCCTTACAACATACACAACACGGCCTTACAACATACACAACACGGCCTTACAATATACACAACACGGCCTTACAACATACACAACACTGACTTACAACATACACAACACTGACTTACAACATACACAACACGGCCTTACAACATACACAACACGGCCTTACAATATACACAACACGGCCTTACAATATACACAACACGGCCTTACAACATACACAACACGGCCTTACAATATACACAACACGGCCTTACAACATACACAACACTGACTTACAACATACACAACACTGACTTACAACATACACAACACGGCCTTACAACATACACAACACTGACTTACAACATACACAACACTGACTTACATGTCGTGCATAATTTCCAGTGGGGTGGGGGGGGGGATGTGTCGTGGGTATAATGTCTGAGGGTTAGACTGATAGTTTTCTTTATTGGCCTGATCGTTTTCTTTGAATTTAAACCAAGAATTGAATGTATTAAATGGATTGAATGGATGAAATGGATGAAATGGATAAAAGGGATTGAATTGATTGAATGGATTATATTGATTAAATGGATTGAATGGATTGAATGGATTGCATGGATTGCATGGATTGAATGAATTGAATGGATTGAATGGATTGAATAGATTGAATAGATTGAATGGATTGAATGTAGCACACAATTGACGTCTATAGAAACTATATCATGTTTATTTAGTCAGTGTTGCAAACATCTGCATCAATGGCATTTAAGAGTTTTCTTGGACATTCGCGAAACTCTCTGTTTAAGATTGCCATTCTGAAATGACGTATTTATCTATTGCTTATTTACCTGTGACCCGTACACCAACTAAACTTTTAAGTCTTGTTTCGTGACTTTTTATCTCTCTCTAAGTTATCAATCGCATTTTTAGGACCTAATTCAAATTGTCTTCACCCCCACCCCAGGTATTGTACACATGTCCCACGAGAAACGTCTGATCCGAGACCTGATCGGCAACTACAGCGAGAGGGGTAAGATGGGGCGGCCCGTGGCCGAACAGAACGACACCATCACCATCAGCTACGGGATGTCGCTCATACAAATCTTGGACTTAGACGAGAGGAACCAGATCCTGACGACCAATGTTTGGGCCACTTACGTGAGTTGACTGAACATGACTTATGTGAGGTGACTGAGCTGACTTACGTGAGTTAATAGAGCATGACTTACGTGAGTTGACTGAGCTGACTTATGTGAGGTGACTGAGCATAACTTATGTGAGTTGACTGAGCATAACTTACGTGAGTTGACTGAGCATGACTTATGTGAGTTGACTGAGCATGACTTACGTGAGTTGACTGAGCATGACTTATGTGAGTTGACTGAGCATGACTTATGTAAGTTGACTGAGATAACCATGACTTACGTGAGTTGACTGAGCATGACTTAAGTGAGTTGACTGAGCTGACTTACGTGAGTTGACTGAGCTGGCGATGACTTACTTGAGTTGACTGAGCTGACCAAGACTTATATGAGACGACTGAGCTTACAACTAATATTTTGCAACTTATGTGATTTGACCTGGATCGTGCAAGTATAATGGAGATCGTAGCTAATTACCAATTATATAACTCTTACCAAAGGATACATAATAAAACATGATTTAAAGTTACAAAAAAGCCCCATCTTTGTCTACCCAAATTTCCTAATTTTGAGCAACCTAAAAAGGTATAATGCCTGCACAAGCGACAGTGGCTTAGCGAGGTTGGGTGTCACCCGGTTCGGCACTAAATAGTGTCACCCCCCAGAGGCGTAGCGAACCTTCCCGGGGACAAACTTTCAAGTTTTCGATTTGCACCCCCCCCCCCCTCAAACTTTCGATTTGCACCCCCCCCTCAAGTATTTCTCTATATATTTTGCTATTTTTTGCTTTGGTGTCACCCCCCTAAATGGTGTCACCCGGTGCGGTCCGCACCCCCCGCCCCCCCCCCCCCCCCTCGCTACGCCCCTGACAAGTGACACTATGGTATGTTTCTCCTCTGTGTTCAACAAGTGTATACATTGTCTTGTGTTGTACAATAACCACGTCAATCTTCACCTCAATGTCCAGATGAGCTTAAGCTGTGAGTTAAGTGATGTGTAACTCCAGACATTAAAAAAAATCTTTCGTTGTTTACATTGAGTTAGGGAAATAAGCGAGATTGTAGCATCACAACAAACGAAACCGATATTGGAGACATCCGTCGTTCGACTGGTATCATGAACTAACTTTTATAGTAAAACAGTTACATTTTTTTTTCAGATTTGATAAAATCTAATTATTCTCATTAATTTTATAACCTGATTTATGTTTTTTAACTGTCAGAACTGGAACGATATGTATCTGGTGTGGAACGAATCCGAGTACGGCGACATCACGACAGTTCGAGTCAACAACAACGATATCTGGAAGCCGGATATTAAGCTCTACAACTAGTGAGTAGTCGACTACTGCAGTTTTTTTGGTATCGAGTATGCTCCTCGCTGTGCTGCCGCCCATCAACATAAAGCATGAAATCGATACTTGTATCTTCTCGACTGATCAGTTATGGATTCGTTGAAATGTTAATTTTTAGGAGGAAGAGATGGGATTTATAGCTGGGGGTAGGGGGAGGGGAGGGGTGTTAGGGATGGAGTAGTGTGCATCGTGCAGTAGAGAGTTGTAGGGCAATAAAAAACAACAATCTAGAACTGTTTGGGTATCTGCAGCACCAACGCCGTTAGAATAGCTCTAAGATATTATTTTTATTACCCTAATCCTAATTCCTAATCTGAATTATACCTGACCCATAGTCCTAATGCTATTTTTGACTCTTTCAACGACACCTCTAGGAAAATCACGATACTTTATAGTATTGCCCTTCTGAAGTTTTTATAAGAATTAAAATCAATGTTCATGGTTCTCGACAATAGGTGACGCTAACACAGCCATTGAATTGATTCAAACAGTTGCATAAAGAACCATCTTTAGTTTAGTCCTAGCGATCCATTGGGCAGATGAAGTAGTTTATTTGTTTCTTGACCTCGGCATATGAAGGGAAGGTGTGGTCAGCACTGCCATGGCGCCTTTAATTTCCCTATCGTGAGTTAGGTACCCATCAGAGCTGGGTGGACTAGGGACGCTCTACTGACTTGGACCCGAATTTGAACCAGGGACTTTAGGGTTAGCAGCCTAGCGCTCTACCGCTTAGGCCACGCCATCCCATTTAACAATTTCCTATGGACTCCTATCTTTCTCCCCGCCTCCAAGTAACAAGATCGTGGTCTCTCTAATATTTGTTGTCCTTTCTGCCTTCGTTTCTTCCCACTCATTCTCCCTAGGCAACAACACACTCCACGTCACTCAACCCAGTCGCTTCCCTTGTTAACCTCGTACATCATCAGCATACACACCAACATACACATCAACATACACATGCACATCAACATACACATCAAAATACACATCAACATACACATACACATCAGCATACACATCAACATACACATCAACATACACGTCAACATACACATCAACATACACATCAACAATCACATCAACATACACAACAACATACACATCAACATACACATCAACATATTCATCTACATACACATCAACATACACATCAGCATACACAACAACATACACATCAACATACACATCAGCATACACATCAACATACACATCAACATGCACATAATCGTATTTTCTTTCCAATTAAAATTTTATTTTTGTTTTCCACACCATTCCTACCTTCCGCCATGTCTGACCACGTGACTCCAGTGCTGACACGCGATTGGAGGAGAAGCGTGAAGCCTTGTGTGTCTTGTCCAGCAATGGTGACGTCGTCTGGATACCCCAGGCCGTCTTCAAGAGTTCCTGCTCCATCGACATACGTCACTTCCCGTTTGATATCCAGACCTGTCGCATGAAGTTTGGCTCGTGGACCTACGACGGTTCTAAACTTGATTTACAGGTGGGTATATACGACGGTTCTAAACTTGATTTACATGTAGGCCCGTAAAGGCTGGACTTAGCGCCGTTAAAAGGCGCAAAGCTTCCCCTAAGTTTTTCTCTCTCTGCCTCTAACGTTTTCACTATTGGCTCTATAATACTTCCTTTTAAACTTTCATCCCCTGCCCTAAAACTTTCATCTCCTGCCTCTAAACTTTCATCTCCTAACCTTAAACTTTCTTCTTATGCCCCTAACCTTTCATCTCCTGCCCCTAACGTTCCCCTTCCTGCTCCTAAACTTTCTTCTCCTGTCCCTAAACTTTTATCTTCTGCCCCTAAACTTTCATCTCCTGCCCCTAAACTTTCAACTCGTAAACTTTCCCCTCCTGCCCTACCCACCAGTTTCTCTACACCAACGTGACGGGGTTCGAGATGACCGACTACATCCTCAGCAACGAGTGGGACATCCTGGAGTCGAGCGCCAAGAGAAACGTCAAGTACTACCCCTGCTGCCCTGAGCCCTACGTCGACTTGGTCTTCAAGCTGGTCATCCGCCGCAAGGTGGCGTTCTACAGCTACATCCTGATCCTGCCCTGCGTCCTACTCTCCAGCGTCACCCTCGTACTCTTCTGGCTCCCGCCAGAGTCCCCGGCCAAGATGCAGTTAGGTGTGACGTCATTGGTGTGCGCACGTCGTCATGGATTGTCTGTGATTGTTGTATGATCAGTGAATATTTTAAATTATGTATTTCTTGTCGGTAGGAGAAGGGTGAAGGATTATCCATGAATGACCTAATATATCAAAGGTGGGGGTGGGGGTGGGGGTGGGGAGGGGGGGGGGGGTTGTTCAAGTGACTTGACATTGTAGGTGACAGCACCGCGGCCAGTTAGCTTAACTTGCCTAACTACAGACAGTTAACTAGAATTTACGATCTAATCGCGTGCTCTAGGGACGGCGTGGCCGGGTGGTAGAGCTCACGACTGCTAACCCGAAATTCTCGAGTTCAGATGGGTATCTGACTCAGGTTAAGGAACAAAAACGGCTGGACGTTATACTGCAAACACTATTCCTCTGCAAGTGGAGGGGATAAGCTTTACTTTATCTGTCCATGTGTCTAGGGCACGAACAAGGAAGTATGTTGATGAGTTGCGCCGTGTGATGTTCTGAATGCCACCGAAGATAAGATGACTTCTCTAAAGCTGACATCATCTGCTGTTGTTTATTTCAGGCATGAACATCTTCGTGGCCTTCTTCGTGCTGCTGCTGTTGTTGGCTGAGTCTACTCCACCTGCAGCTTCAAGCATACCCCTCATAGGTTAGTGAACGTGTTGTATAGTTAAACGGTAACACATAGGTTAGTTAGTGTGTTGTATAATGTTGTGGTACACCTTATAGGTTAGTTAGTGTGTTGTATAGTTCTGTGGTCCACTCATAGGTTAGAGAGCGTGTTGTATACTGTTGTGGTACCCCTCATAGGTTAGTTTGCGTGTTTTATAGTTTTGTGGTACCCCTCATAGTTTAGTGAACGGTTTGTATACTGTTGTGGTACCCCTCATAGGTTAGTGAACGGTTTGTATACTGTTGTGGTACCCCTCATAGGTTAGTGAACGGTTTGTATACTGTTGTGGTACCCCTCATAGGTTAGTTAGTGTGTTGTATAGTTTAGCGGTAACACATAGGCTAGTTAGCGTGTTGTATAGTGGTGTGGTACCCCTAATACAGGGGTCGGCAACCTTTTGAAGCAGAAGAGCCAAAAGTTACAATTTTCAAAATTTCCCTGGTTTTAAAGAGCCACTAACATTGTTTTTATTTCTAATATTTAATTTTTTTATTAAGATTATTAGTATTTGTTCAAAGAGCTGGAGAGCCGCATCTTGATATCAAAAGAGCCGCATGCGGCTGGCGAGCCGCAGGTTGCCGACCCCTGCCCTAATAGGCTAGCCGCTAGCGTGTTTTATAGTTTAGCGGTAACACACATAGGTATGAAATGCTGTCTAATTAGTGTTAAATAATGTTGTGGTACTCCTTATAGGTAAGAGAGTTTGCTGTTTAGTTAGCGTATTGTATAGTGCTGTGTTACACCTTATAGGTAGGGGATAGAAGATTTGTGTCTGAAAGGGAGGAAAATTAGCTTGTTGAGTATTGTCATGTTATCCTTAATGAAGGTTTTTGTTTCAGCAAGTTAAGAGATATATATGTGGTTATTTTATATACATAATCACAAGAGATGGATATGTTTACTGGGTTACCTCCCCGCCTCATATATGAACAAAGTAGGGGCGATAAGTCGTGTCCCAGTCATACGCCGATGTGTCTAGTTAAGTAACAGGGCTAGTAAAAAGCTGATCAATCCCACAGAATCTAACAAGCTCATAGCGGGAATCTACACCATAGGTAGAGGTTAATGGAAGTTAGGGGGAGTGGTCCCTACACCATAGGTAGAGGTTAATGGAAGTTAGGGGGAGTGGTCCCTACACCATAGGTAGAGGTTAATGGAAGTAAGAAGGAGTGGTCCCTACACCATGGGCAGAGGTTAATGGAAGTAAGAAGGAGTGGTCCCTACACCATAGGTAGAGGTTAATGGAAGTAAGAAGGAGTGGTCCCTACACCATAGGTAGAGGTTAATGGAAGTAAGAAGGAGTGGTCCCTACACCATGGGCAGAGGTTAATGGAAGTAAGAAGGAGTGGTCCCTACACCATAGGTAGAGGTTAATGGAAGTAAGAAGGAGTGGTCCCTACACCATAGGTAGAGGTTAATGGAAGTTAGGGGGAGTGGTCCCTACACCATAGGTAGAGGTTAATGGAAGTAAGAAGGAGTGGTCCCTACACCATAGGTAGAGGTTAATGGAAGTTAGGGGGAGTGGTCCCTACACCATAGGTAGAGGTTAATGGAAGTTAGTGGGAGCGGTCCCTAGACCATGGGCAGAGGTTAATGGAAGTTAGTGGGAGTTTTCCCTTTATCCACCCACCCCTAACCGAATTAATGCATATCTAATTACTCACTTGGGTCCATCGGCTGTGTGAAGAGGGGAGGGGACGGGGTCTGATACACGGGCAACTCCTGTAACTTTTCTTAATGCCAAGGCTTTGTGCTTAGATTTCCAATTCCTAATCACCAGATGATCTTGACTTTGAAGACAATTTTAATTAGTGTAAGAAAAAAAAGGTTAAACAAATATAAGTGAATGTTATAAATAACGTCTTGTAAAAAAATCCATTTAAAAGTTTAGTTTTCTCATCTTTGATGATAGAATTACAAATTTCATATATATAAACAACATAGTGAAAAAACAAACAAAACAAGAAGTGAACAAAAACAACACAAATCCTCTTCCAAGTACCCATTTGTACCGAGTGCCACCAGAACTTTAACGTCCATCTAATACTTTTAGTTTACTCGTGATCCCATCACAGGAGCGGGTACTGGGTTTAGGTTGATTAACTGGCATTAATGTAATTACTCGTGACGTATGTCATTAACTTCTCATCTGGCACGTCATCTTGCCAGGTGGGCGGGGCCAGTTTTTGTACCTGACACTTGCCATTGTCAGCAATTAGGAGAAAATGATTATGTTTTAATTAAGTTTGTGTAACATAGAAGTTGATTTTGTTTTAGTTAAGGTTGTGTAACATAAGAGTTAGGAGAAAATGTTTTTGTTTTAGTTAAGTTTGTGTAAAATAGGAGTTTGGAGAAAATGTTTTTGTTTTAATTAAGTTTGTCTTACATTGCATGATAGTGTAAAGAGGAAGTAATTATTAGTTATCATTTATCAGAAAATTAAGTTTTAGGTTAGCTAAGGCACGTCCCACTTTTCCCTAATGCCTTACTGATTTTAATTATAGATTTAAAACAAAATCTGTAGATGACTTTTATCTAAATTAAAAAAAAAATTAACTCTGTTGGAATATAAGGAGGCTAATTTTTAATTAATGAAGAATCTCCATGTTAGTATTAAAGTGGGTTTCCTTTTTCGTGCATAATGATAACATTGGAGGTGGGGGGGGGGGGGGGGGTGGGGTGGGGATCAAAGTAAAAATAAACCTTTTTATAGTTGCTGTCCTCAAACCTAAATAATATTGTGCACCAACATGGTCCATTGACTCCGTATTCAACCTGCTTTCTTTTCTCTAGATCAATGGTTCGTAACCTGGGTTCGATCGAACCCTAGGGGTTCGGTGAGTCAGTCTCATTGGTGTCATGACACACACCCGACTCCAATAATTTACGATAGGATTTTGTCATTGCAGACTGTAGAGCTATTAAGAAGGGTTCGGTGCATGCGCATATGAAAGTGGTAGGGTTCAGTACCTCCAAAAAGGGTAAGAACCAATGCTCCAGGTTCTTATGGTACGATTGGAGTACTTATGTCCCCTGAATAAACCGAATTTTTATTGAATTTTTAAAAATCGTAGTGGGTGGAGGATAGCTACTGGTTTAATATTGCGGTCCATAAAGGGGTTAAAGCTCTTTTGAAAAATTGAATTCTTAAAGCTAAGCCATTCAAGCGTTTTAATTGGGGATGGTATAGCATAGGGCATTGACCAGTATTGCTATAAATTGTGTTTCTTGTTTTTAGATATTTCTATTTCAGTTGTTTCATGGTTAGATCTATAATGTGTCCTTGTTTTAGTTTTAGTAGTTGTGATATAAATGGCCGAAGTTTTTAGTACTACTTGAGTGTGTTAGGTTGTAAATAATATATTAATTTCAGGTTTAATTTTAAGGCTAGAATTTAAGGTTAAGGTAATGTTAGGAATTGGATTGACTTTTGGGTTAGGGATACGTTTTGGAATTAAAATCAGCAAGTCATTTTAGTTTTTATTAACAACCTGTAATCGAACACACTTTTTAAAGGCTCTATTAGTGTGATATTATCGCACACTAATGAAGCACATATCACGATTTGTCCTAATGTAATTGGATGTAAGTCCGCTTACTAAATACACGTTTGAATAGTTGTAGTATACGTCTCATCCTGGTGTCCACAGGGGCCTACTACTGTCTGAACATGATCATGATCACCATGTCCACACTGCTTTCCGCTGTAGTGGTCAACCTGTACTTTCATGGGCCGGGTACCAAGGTGCCAAGAGTTTTCAGGAGGGTAAGTGTTGTAGGAGGAGGGTAAGTCTTGTGGTAGGGTAAGTCTTGTTGGAGGGTAAGTCTTGTAGGAGGGTAAGTTTGTAGGAGGAGGGTAAGTCTTGTGGTAGGGTAAGTCTTGTTGGAGGGTAAGTCTTGTAGGAGGGTAAGTCTTGTAGGAGGGTAAGTCTTGTAGGAGGGTAAGTCTTGTGGTAGGATAAAACTTGTAGGAGGGTAAGTCTTGTAGGAGGGTAAGTTTGTAGGAGGAGGGTAAGTCTTGTGGTAGGGTAAGTCTTGTTGGAGGGTAAGTCTTGTAGGAGGGTAAGTTTGTAGGAGGAGGGTAAGTCTTGTGGTAGGGTAAGTCTTGTTGGAGGGTAAGTCTTGTAGGAGGGTAAGTCTTGTAGGAGGGTAAGTCTTGTAGGAGGGTAAGTCTTGTAGGAGGGTAAGTTTGTAGGAGGAGGGTAAGTCTTGTGGTAGGAGGGTAAGTCTTGTGGTAGGAGGGTAAGTCTTGTGGTAGGGTAAGTCTTGTGGTAGGGTAAGTCTTGTGGTAGGGTAAGTCTTGTGGTAGGGTAAGTCTTGTAGGAGGGTAAGTCTTGTTGGAGGGTAAGTCTTGTAGGAGGGTAAGTTTGTAGGAGGAGGGTAAGTCTTGTTGGAGGGTAAGTCTTGTAGGAGGGTAAGTTTGTAGGAGGAGGGTAAGTCTTGTGGTAGGGTAAGTCTTGTGGTAGGGTAAGTCTTGTAGGAGGGTAAGTCTTGTTGGAGGGTAAGTCTTGTAGGAGGGTAAGTCTTGTAGGAGGGTAAGTCTTGTAGGAGGGTAAGTCTTGTAGGAGGGTAAATCTTGTTGGAGGGTAAGTCTTGTAGGAGGGTAAGTCTTGTAGGAGGGTAAGTCTTGTAGGAGGGTAAGTCTTGTAGGAGGGTAAGTCTTGTAGGAGGGTAAGTCTTGTAGGAGGGTAAGTTTGTAGGAGGAGGGTAAGTCTTGTGGTAGGAGGGTAAGTCTTGTGGTAGGAGGGTAAGTCTTGTGGTAGGGTAAGTCTTGTGGTAGGGTAAGTCTTGTGGTAGGGTAAGTCTTGTAGGAGGGTAAGTCTTGTTGGAGGGTAAGTCTTGTAGGAGGGTAAGTTTGTAGGAGGAGGGTAAGTCTTGTGGTAGGGTAAGTCTTGTGGTAGGGTAAGTCTTGTGGTAGGGTAAGTCTTGTAGGAGGGTAAGTCTTGTTGGCGGGTAAGACTTGTAGGAGGGTAAGTCTTGTAGGAGGGTAAGTCTTGTGGTAGGATAAAACTTGTAGGAGGGTAAGTCTTGTAGGAGGGTAAGTGTGAGGGTGGGGATTTTTACGATGGCGGAACGAATGGATCCAATAACACACAGTTCAAGTTCCAAATACAAAGTTCTTTATTAAAATTATATAATCAAGTATCTACCTAACTAGCCTATTCTATACTCTCTACTGTTTACTATTACTGCTAACTGTTCACTATATTACTAACTGCGCACTCCCATGACTAATCCTAACACTAACTGTTCCCTAGCTCTACATACTACAACCGTCTCTAACCGCTTCCTAACACCTTCTGCACTCTTCGCTAGCTACCTATCAACTGCCGGCCTATCTCTCTACTACTGACCCACGCCTCAGTGGTCAGCTGACCCTCCCACGTGACCGGTCAGTTCGCGTATTTTTATTGGTCTCTCTCTCTCTGACTAGTCTGACCAACTTGCTATAGCCTGCTTCTGCTATCTACCTGAGCTCGACGCAACCTTGCGTCATCACATATCTCCCTCCCTTTCTGTAGCTGACAAATTATATTTTTCAGCGTCTGCTACTCATCTAATACATCAACAACTATCTATCTTACTACTCTATTCTATCCCTAACATCAATCATATAAATCAAATACAAAATGGGACAGCACAGTTTACAAAAACATAAATTCTTGTGTCTGTGTTCCTGAATAAAAAAATGTCATTGTTCTAGTTCTCGTGTAAGTATCCTGACGTCTGTGGTGTCTCTGCTTGATAATGTATGTCCATGTTTCATGGTATGTGTGAATCCAATCATGTGAACTCAGTTCTGGCTAGGTTGTCGTGTACTGGCCTTGGGCTAATCTTAGTAGTAATGTGTAACTGGTTGAACGGGCTCTGCGAGCAGTGTAAGTGTATGTGTAAGTGTTATGTAATTACTGGCGTTCCTCTGTGGTGGGTAGGTTGTGGCGAGTTTTGATGTAAATTCCCGTGAGGCGGGTGTAGGCGTAACTTTCGTTGGTCAATGTGATGACGCAACAAACTGATCTCAACGCTGGTTGAGACGTCCACGTAGAGTGGTTATACGATGAACTGGAGCTGTCTGATGCGGTGGCGAACAATGACGTAACATTCCGACGCTGGGAACTTGGACGATGGGTCGTCTACTCTTTGTATCTGCCGACGTAGGTTAACGTAGCTGGCGGTCTGTTAGATAACCCCAGGGTGGGGCGAAGTGGTGGCGATGCGTTCGCTGTCTTGACCAGGGCTATTCACGTCCAGCAGGCTGTTCGCTGTCCAGGTAACTCAACGTGATCAGGGGCTTCAGGTGGCGGCATTCTTTGAAGTGTCTGCTTCATCTCGTCTCATTCTGTATAACGCTGGTGGGTCTGAAATTGTATTACGAGACCATGAGCAATGGCTTTACATGACCATTTATTGCCCGCGCAGACAAGTATACAGACAGAGGTACCTTCCATTAAAAAAAACCTCAATCCCAAATTTAAACGTGCTGAACATTTGTCTGGCGGCATAACAAACATTAAAAAAATAACATTACAACATAACCAAATAAAATATCAGTACACTCTAATCTAGCAACAATCTGTAAAGCCTAATAAACTCAATAGACGTAAACACTACTAGAGCTTAGAAATAGCTTCACAAAAAGAATAGACATGTGAGTGTATATCAATAATATAGTGCCATTTCAAATCAATATTTGAACACGTAATCATATAGTGGAGCAGCTCTCACTATCTGACTTCTGACTTGACTTAGACTGGGTCGCTTGACTTAATGACTGACTTCACTTTTGACTTCAGTAACTTGACTTATTTCACTTTGACTGACTTCAGTAACTTCACTTATTTCACTTTGACTTCAGTAACTTGACTGACTTCAATTTACGACTTATTTCAATTTGACGACTTACTTCACTGACTTCATAAACATCACTGACCGACTTCGACTTCACTTGACGACTAAATTCTCTTTGACGACTAACTTCACTGCGACAACTAAATCGACTGACTTCATAGACCTCTGACTGACTTCGACTTCAATTCAACTTTAAGGACTTCACTGACTGACTTGAACTTCGACGACTTAAACGTCTTCACTTTGACTTCAAAGACTTTTCCTTGACTTTAACTACTTCAATATGACTTCAACGACTTCAATATGACTTCAAATAATTCACTTTGACTTCAACAACTTCAATATGACTTCAAAGACTTCACTTTGACTTCAAAGACTTCACTTTGACTTCAAAGACTTTAACTTTGGCTTCAATGATTTCAACGACATCACTTTGATTTCCAAGACTTCACTATAACTTCGACGATTTCACTTCTTCACTATGACCTCAACGACTTTATAACTTCAAAGACTTTTCTTTGACTGCAACATGACTTCAACTACGTCACTATGACCTCAACTACGACTTCAACAACTTATTGACTGACTTGACTGACTTCAAATAACTTCTTTGACTTCAGTTCTGACTTATACTTCACTGACTTCAATAACACAATTGACTTCAGATTTGACTACACTGACTTCTGACTGTACGACTTAACGTCGATTTCCTCGACTACTTAGATCAACACAAAAATACTCGACTTGACTTCACTTTTATGTCCGTTGTTCAAAATCATTTATGGGGGCGGTCCGGGTCCAATTCCTGGTCATGGGGTTGATGTTCTAGGGCAGTTGCGTGTTATCTATTTGATGTACTTTCCTTTTCACTAATGCTAACGCTAACTCTGCTTTTGTTCTTGACATTTCTTACTATCTTGACTATCTTGTTTTCTAGCTTATTCTCTACAAATGTTTCAACTTCTTCTCCTGTTTTGTCTAATGGTATGCCCTGTTTATAGCATTGAAACTCTGCCTCCATGGTTGTGTATGTGTGTGTGTTGAGGAAAGTCAAAATAACTAAGGCAACAGTGCGTAACAATAGAATGTGTAAGGCAGAAAAACCGCTGGCACAAACTATCCAGCACGGGTATAAACCCAAACGTTTAAAAAAATGTTGGAAGGTACTTATCTTTGTGAATATGGTGACAGTTCCCTTGTGTTCCAAACTCGTTCCGACTGAAGAAGTCCGCTTTGTGATGAGTTAGAGAAAGCAATACACAAGTCTTACTCCGTCATGAGTAACTGATATACGTTCTTTCCCTTACTCGACCCGCGCTCCACCAGATGTGAGGGTGGGGATTTTTACGATGGCGGAACGAATGGATCCAATAACACACAGTTCAAGTTCCAAATACAAAGTTCTTTATTAAAATTATATAATCAAGTATCTACCTAACTAGCCTATTCTATACTCTCTACTGTTTACTATTACTGCTAACTGTTCACTATATTACTAACTGCACACTCCCATGACTAATCCTAACACTAACTGTTCCCTAGCTCTACATACTACGACCGTCTCTAACCGCTTCCTAACACCTTCTCTATTCCTCGCTAGCTACCTATCAACTGCCGGCCTATCTCTCTACTACTGACCCACGCCTCAGTGGTCAGCTGACCCTCCCACGTGACCGGTCAGTTCGCGTATTTTTATTGGTCTCTCTCTCTCTGACTAGTCTGACCAACTTGCTATAGCCTGCTTCTGCTATCTACCTGAGCTCGACGCAACCTTGCGTCATCACAGTAAGTCTTGTAGGAGGGTAAGTCTTGTTGGAGGGTAAGTTTGTAGGAGGGTAGGTCTTGTTGGAGGGTAGGTCTTGTTGGAGGGTAAGTTTGTAGGAGGAGGGTAAGTCTTGTAGGAGGAGGGTAAGTCTTGTAGGAGGGTAAGTCTTGTAGGAGGGTAAGTTTGTAGGAGGGTAAGTCTTGTTGGAGGGTAAGTTTGTAGGAGGAGGGTAAGTCTTGTGGTAGGGTAAGTCTTGTAGGAGGGTAAGTCTTGTTGGAGGGTAAGTCTTGTAGGAGGGTAAGTCTTGTTGGAGGGTAAGTCTTGTTGGAGGGTAAGTTTGTAGGAGGAGGGTAAGTCTTGTGGTAGGGTAAGTCTTGTAGGAGGGTAAGTCTTGTAGGAGGGTAAGTCTTGTAGGAGGGTAAGTTTGTAGGAGGAGGGTAAGTCTTGTGGTAGGGTAAGTCTTGTAGGAGGGTAAGTCTTGTTGGAGGGTAAGTTTGTAGGAGGAGGGTAAGTCTTGTTGGAGGGTAAGTCTTGTAGGAGGGTAAGTCTTGAGGGTAAGTCTTGTGGTAGAAGGGTAAGTCTTGTGGTAGAAGGGTAAGTCTTGTGGTAGGGTAAGTCTTGTAGGAGGTAAGTCTTGTAGGAGGGTAAGTTTGTAGGAGGAGGGTAAGTCTTGTAGGAGGGTAAGTCTTGTTGGAGGGTAGGTCTTGTGGGAGGGTAAGTCTTGAGGGTAAGTCTTGTTGTAGGGTAAGTCTTGTGGTAGAAGGGTAAGTCTTGTGGTAGGGTAAGTCTTGTAGGAGGGTAAGTCTTGTAGGAGGGTAAGTCTTGTAGGAGGGTAAGTCTTGTGGTAGGGTAAGTCTTGTGGTAGGGTAAGTCTTGTGGTAGGGTAAGTCTTGTAGGAGGGTAAGTCTTGTAGGAGGGTAAGTCTTGTGGTAGGGTAAGTCTTGTAGGAGGGTAAGTCTTGTAGGAGGGTAAGTATTGTAGGAGGGTAAGTCTTGTAGGAGGGTAAGTATTGTAGGAGGGTAAGTCTTGTAGGAGGGTAAGTATTGTAGGAGGGTAAGTCTTGTGATAGGAGATTGGTTCCCTTTAAAAATAAAGCATTACACACTTTGACAGATTTGGTTAACATAGGTTTCACCTATCAATTCAATTTTCTCTTAGGTTGAGTTAGGATGAATTTATGTTTAATATGTTAAAAGTTATGTATGATAACAACATACTCATGTACAAGCCAGACTCACAATCATTACATACAAATCAATGAGAAGCGATGACGATTTCTATATTGATTACTCTTCCCGTGTTAAGATGCGTGTAGTTGTTTAACAATGGTTGATGTTTTAATGTGAGGGATTAGCGACATTCTTGATCGATCAACGCTTGTTCGATCAACAATGCTTGATCATCGGCGGATCTGATTGTTGCATCACGTTATTTATAGACACTACTCGAATGGCGAAGCACACAAGAAACTAAGGAGTTATTTATAGTTTTCCTCTTTTTGGTATAGTAACATATGTTATTCCTAACCCAGAACCGATATCTAAACCTAATCCTAACTTTCACTTCTAACCTCCAGATAACTTTTAACTCAAAGCTAGCGTGATGCTTAGCCGTCCAAATGAAACTTTACTCTAATATGGTATTTTTAAAAAGACCTAAAATTAGGCAAATCGCTAAAAATAAACCAGATTTTAAAATTCTTTTTCTGTAGTTAAATCCTAAAAATGAAATAAGTCTAAATATAACCAATAGGCTAATTCTAAAAATGAAACAAGTCTAAATATAATCAATAGTCTAATCCTAAAAGTCAATAAGCCTAAATAAAAACCATAATCTAATCCTAAACATTCAATAAGCCAAAATGTAAACCTAAAAGTTAAATAAGCCTAAATATAAAGCATAGTCTAATCCTAAAAATTCAATTAGCCTAAATATAAACCATAGTCTAATCCTAAAAATTCAATTAGCCTAAATATAAACCATAGTCTAATCCTAAAAATGAAATAAGCCTAAATATAAACTATAGTGAAATCCTAAAAACGATATAGCCAAATTTGCACTCTCCACTTAAACAATCATTACGCGACGGATTTTATAACAAAACAACCAATATACCCTAACCTACTCCCCAATAGGGCTGGTAAGTAGGTCACCAAATTGTTCTACGGCTCAATAAACAGTGCATGAGCCATAAAACTGGTTGGTGACCTACTTACCAGCCCTATTGTCTTACCCGCGTGTAGTTGCTAGGCGACGCCCCTGCGACTTACGTCACCGCAGTGTGTAAACCCAACAACACACTAACTCTAAACATGTGTTGCCCCTTTCAGCTGATGCTCGACTTCTTCGCCCGCGTCTTCTGCATGCAAAAAACCCTGATGGACAAGAAAGAACGGGTCGAGCGGAGAAACAGCATCGCCTACAGCGCCAACAACGACGCCAACGCCGTCACTGTCGACCAGGCGTCAAACGGCCGCGGCGGCAACAACGTCAACCTCAACAAAAACAACAAAGACAAGCGGCACCACGTTGATTTTAAGTACGATCGCGTGGGGGTGTTCGAGCTTCAGCCAGATGAGAACTGGCGCCCTAGAAACTACAGCATGGGCAGCGAGACGGATTTGTCCGACCGCATTGTGCCTCTACCCTCCCATCTCAGTCAGCTGGAGGCGGACGTACGAGAAATCAAGCTGCAGTTGAAGAGACTGGAGGAGAAGGGGGCGGCTAAGGCGCACAAGGAGTACCTGGCCAGGGAGTGGAAGCTCGTGGCCCTCGTCCTGGACAGACTCTTCTTCTTCGTCTACCTGGTGGCCATTGTGGTCTCGGCCTTGGCCTTGTTCGAGACGACCATGTTCCAAACCGGAAGCGTCGACGAGAGCGACACGTGATGTTGTCCCCGTGAGTCACGTGACATGTGAATGTCGTAAAGTGGGCATGGTTGCGAACACGGAGTTATTTTGAAAACGTGGTGAAATGGATTTTTAAAATGTGTCTGTACATAGTGAAACTGATTCGTCTATACAAAGTGAGACTGATTCAAGCATTCTTGTGTATTAAAAGTGAAACTGGATCACGTATTTTTATTTGTAAATAATGCAACTTGATTGTCGCGATTTAAACATTATTTTCTTTTTATGAAAATTATAATGAATCGTGCATTTCATGTAAAAAGTGAGACTGATTTATGCGTCATTTTATGTAAAAAGTGAGACTGTCTTTTACTAATTTAATGCAATCAGTGAGACTGTATCGTACTAACTACGTATAAAAAGTGAGACCGACTCTTACTAACTGTATGTAAGAAGAGAGACTGAACCGTACATATCGAATGTAAAAAGTGACACAGTTTGATTTTTCAATGTGCAATATAATGGATTTATTCAAAAAGCAATAAGATTGAACAAGAATACAACAATTGTGAGACATGTGATATAGTGAGACCGTGTAAATACACTTCGGCTAACTACTATGGGTTTAGTGGAAGACTTTCAGCGTGTAATTTGTATATAATTATGTAGCTAATTCTCGGTATATTGTCTTGTATGATATACTAAGAGTATGTCTTTAAATATGTATATGTACAGATGTATATTTGTGTATGTATACACATTTGAATATTCACAAATGTATGCAGATTAATGCATATACATGCGTACAAATGTATGTATCCAGAAGAATTTGTGTATACATGTGTAGTCTTCTTGAGGCGTTAAGGAGTGGATAAGGGTTGGTGCAGGAAAGCGAGACGTCAAATTATTGCATTTTAAAGGTTTTTTAGGTTTTGTAAATTGTAATTAAATTAAAACAATGCACCTAGTTTTGACCCAGCTCTTTTGAAAGAGCGGATTGAAAATAAAATGTATCGATATAAAAAAAAATAGAAAAAAAAATTCAGTTTGAGACGCGTGAGTTGTGAGGGGGGGGGGAGGGTAAAAAGTGGTAGGAAGGTGTGGGGAAACTAAAATTAGACGTTATTAGTGTGGAGGGGGGATTGAATTGGAGAAAAAAGCGTGGCGTGACTTATAAACTACCTCACCACCCCCTTTATAGATACTATCCTTGTGCTGCATACGACTCATCCTTTGAACTTGCAGTGATCCAACATAAGCAATGATTGTAAAGTTGTATACTGTGATTAGCTTTTTAAATGTGAAATATAGCGATGTTTCAGATCTTCTATTTATATGTACAAAAAAAAAAGTGATGGTCTGTGAATTTTAGACTGTTTTGACTACACTCTCTCCCCCTTTTCGCACTTCCACTTGAATAAACTTGACAAGTGACGTTAGCACAATATGCGAGATTGTTGATTTGACTTAGGGTTCGCACTTTAGCCAACTTTTTATGCGTCAATAGAATTCACACTATACCACGTCCACTTATCAAAATGTAACTATTTATAGCAAACATCGGGGGGGGGGGGGGGGCTAATATTTAACGTGAAACATTTGTTCAACAGGGGAGGGGTTGGGAGGTAATGTGTGGGGGGGGGGCGTGTCACTCTCAAAGGAGAGGAATTAAAGGGATGGCGACTTATATGAGAGGGAATGGAAGCGGACATATAGCATATTATATTAAAGAAAAGTTAAATGGAAAAAAGTTCCTTTCTTTTAGAATGAGAACGTTTTAGAAGGAAAGGTGGGGGGGGGGGGTGTGTGGGGGGGGGGGGCATCTAAGCAATGGGGGTGGGTGGGGCGGAGAGCATGATAGTTGGCTACATTATAGTGTCGACAACAACTGCATCACTAAACTAAAAATGAAATATGAAATATTATTCATATAATACATTAAAAACCGTTTGATACACACTTTGAAAATCTGAATATTGATTCAATATGTTTTTTTTAACTTATGCCATTAACGTATTCTAAACACACTTGTATTCACTGAATTCAGCTGTCTATATCTGATACATGCATTTTTTAAAACTCATCTCCTAATCACCCTAAAAATTGTTATGTCGCACATCTATTACATAACTTCAACAGTTTATATCTCAAGTATGTGTTTACAATACATAATTAAAAGCAATTTATTAATAACTATGCGTTGTTTTAAATTCTTTGAAACTTAACTAAAGGGAAGCAACTATATTTTTAGAATTTATTTTTTATATATAAATATTACTTCCCTTGAAGTCATTTTTTGTGTGTAGATATATAAATTAGTAAAGTGTCTTTGTTCTGAGAATGGTTTAAATAACACAGATTTTGTGAATTAAATAGTAATACTTGGGGTGATTTTAGAAGTCTTTTGTAAAATTTTATCTGAGTAATCGCATTAAAATTGATGGTGATATTATTCAGTACATGAAGATGGTAAGTCTTGATATTGTTCTGTTGATGAAAATGGTAAGTCTTGAAATAGCTCAGCTGATGTATATGACTGAATTCAATGTTAGATCCCCCTCTGACCCCAAGAGTGGAACTACGAACCCCCAATCTACGGCATCATCTCCACTATTAATAACATCTACCTATCAACCAGTTAATCTTTATTTTAATTAGCCAGGTGAGTTCAATTTACCGTTTTAAAATCAAACACACTTGTTCAATGATTCTTTATTTTAATCAGTTAGCTACCTTCAAACTATTTTTATTTTAATCAATTAGTTAATCAGGTTACTATTACCTTAATTACTAAGAGTTCATCTTACCTATATATAAATCACCAACGTGAATTCAACGAATTTCTATTTTATACACTGTTATGGATCCATTTGTAAGTTAGATTAGAATAGGTTCACATAGACTACAACTCAGGAGAGAGTTCGTGTGTGAGCTCAGTTAACGCCGTGTGTTTATGTATTGCTATCCCAAGGTCGAACGTGAGTATAAAAGATGTGTGCACGATTGTAAGGGGGGAGGGGGGGCATGTTGATCGCCGCCAGGGAAGAGGACATGCGTGTAATGTGTGAACACGAGAACAACTCAAGTACTGAACGTTGTCTCGGATCGCGTTTAGTATTCAATAAATCCAAGACGCAACATACACATAGTATATCTTTAAATATTCGATTTTTATGCACGTTTTTATAAAAAAAGTAAATATTTCTATTAACAAATTTTTTTCTTAAACAACCCCTATATCAAGCACACAGCTGAATGATTGTTACGCCATATACTAACGGTCACTCCCCCCCCCTTCCCCCCTACCAAAACAACCCCTAACAATATATCAAGCACACAGCTGAATGATTGTCACACCATATACTAGCTGTCACTCCCCCCCACTCAAACAACCCCTAACAATATCAAGCACACAACTGAATGATTGTCACACCATATACTAACGGTCACTCCCCTCTCCCTCTAATAAAACAACCCCTAACAATATATCAAGCACACAGCTGAATGATTGTCACACCATATAATAGCTGTCATTCACCGCGCTCATACGTCATCAATTATAATTCTACCTTGATCATTTCCTCTCAAATATTGACGTGCAGTAAAGTAATTTTTTGAAGTTTTAAATTAACGGCTATTAAGTGCTTTTCTTTTTTTCCTCTTTTTTTTTCGCCTCAGACATGTAATTTACAGCGTCAGTTTGCCTTGCATGTTCGCTTTAGTATTACATTTTTTATCATCGGCTTGTAAGGACTGATACAGATTTACTATAGTAATACTTCATTTTTACATGTAGCTTATTTCATTCATTTAAGACGGTTTACTTATAGATAGATCTAATACTAAACGCTAATAGCAATTTTATTTTAAAAAAATGAAATGCAATACTGAACTTAAATAGCGATTCAATTGATTTTTTTTCCCATCGGCGTAGTGGGTTGAGGGGGGGGGGGGGAGGGGGGGGGTTGGGTTTTGAGTCGAGATGAAATTAATTTGGAATAATTGAAAAATATTAGTAGCTTTATGACAAGCTATCAAAAGGTTTTTTTTTTGCCTAAGACATGTAATTTACAGCGTCAGTTGTGTGTGTTCGCTTTAGTATTACAGTTTTCATCACCGGCTTGTGAGGACTGATACAGATTTACAATAGTAATATTTCTTTCTTACTTGTAGCCTACTTTCATTCATTTAAGATGGTTTACTTATACATAGATCTAATACAAAACGTCTAAATATAAAAAAAAATGAAAAAATGAAAAAAAAAAAACCAACCTGAAAATGCAAATGTGTAATTAAATGTTGATTCAAGGGATTTTTTCCCCTCGGCGTGGTGGGTGAGGGGGGTGGGGTACGGGGTGGAATTTGGGTTTTTTAAGTAGAGCTGAAATAAATTTGTGATTACACAGAATTAAAATGATACACATTTTAAGCAATCGGAAAATTTATGTTATTACAACGAGACACATCAAAGCAAACATTCTTCCCTTTCAAACATCTATATCTATACAGTCCTCAAACAATTTTTAAAAAAAAATTAAATTGTTTTGAACATTTAAATCAGTAATAATAATTTTTTTGGATAGTTTTACACAGCATCAAAGATATGAACATCAATTGCATATATAATAATCAAAGGTAGAATATAAAATGGCATAAGAACTAGACTAAAATAAGGTGTGCAAACTCGGTTTCTCTTGACTGCTTAGTTTACTGTGCTCAGTCCTTAGCTGCGGAGTCAAAAGTTCACATTGTAGTCACCCATGGACAGAAATAGAATCAATGAGACTCGTTGAATGAGTTATTAATTATCGACGTTTAGAATGACTTCAATTTTAAAGTAGGGGTTGGGGGAAAGGACGGTGGGGGGGGGGGGGGGGATTATCATCCTTAACGACCTACTGATAGTGTTTTAAAGCAAATATTTTCAGTGGCAGCATTGGTACTGTCGAATTCACAAATAATGAATTACTGAAAAGTAGAAAAAACAACAACTAAATAACGGCATATGATACGCCGCGGGTCGGCTCGTATATAATATTACTGTAGGCCCTATTTAAGTTTTATGACATAGCTTTTTCCCTTTTGTCAACAGATTAATAATTTTGATAACACGAACACACTTAATATTGCAACAAAAGTATTTAATTAGTTAAGAAATTTTTAAAAAAGTAATCTTAAGTTACAAGCAAATATTGAAACAAAACAATGTTAAGAACAGATCAAAAGGCATTATCAGAAGCCAGAACAGAAATTCTTAAAAGTATTTTTATTTGTTTTTATTTTAATGGGTAGTACAATCATAGCACGCATGAAATGACTTAAATAACTTTTGAATACAATTTAACTATTTCCAAATAAAGACACAAAACTTGAAGTTGACTGGTTAATCAAATAAAATGGCGAAATTTGAAGTGGTGTTTTAAAAAAATCATAAATACGTTTCAATAACAAGCTTTTATGTAATAATACACTAAAAAGTAGAAAATAAATTATACACTACTGTTTAAATAAATATAAAGAAAAGCGTGGGTCTCTTCCTAATTATGAGTAAAGGTATCCAATAGATACTAAAGTTTGTAAAAATAACAGTTTGTTGAAACTCGTAATAGAGTAGCTATCTCAAAATAAAGACAATAAATTTGGATTTGTCAAGTCAAGTCAAACGGATGTGAGTACTTATTTCCAAAAAAATGCGCGGAACTTGGCGTTGTATTTAAAATAGACGAGAATGTTACAGCAACAGAAGAGAATCTGGAAGGTGTGGGCGGCAACATCGAGCACCTCGTACAGACGCCCGTATTTGCCGTTGACCGAGAACTCGGGGAGGACAATGTACGCTAGGCAGTACCCGACCTTTGGGATATTGCTGGTTATAAACACGAGGGACAGGACGAACATCTGTCGGGTCACCTGCAGCTCCTTGCCGCTCAATCTCGTGACCTTAACTTCACTATTTCCTTGTTTCATTTGGTTTATTTTCGTGTCCTTAACCTCACTATTGCATTGTTTCAATGCATCTAACTTTGCGTCCTTAGCTACATAACCACCATGCTTTAATGAATCCATTTTCATATCCTTAGCTTCACTATTGTAATGTTTACATAAATTAATTGCGCCTTCACTTGTACCCGCTGATGTGTTTTTATGACGAAACATCAAAGCTTCGGTCAGATAACTCTTCATTAGAAAAGCGCAGACAACTACAATAATTTGTATGGCGATTGGCAGAACAAATCCCACAGCCGGCCACAGCACGGCCAGTGCCGGTTTAAAATAAGGAGAAACCCACAGTGCCGGCCTGGTCACGTTAAACCTAGGGTCGTGTTGCGGTATGATCCCCATCAAGGCGTAGAAGGGTACAGCATGGGCGATAGTGAACACTGCGAACGCTATTGTAAATATGATGTAGTTCTTCTGCGTTCCAAACTTTTCTCTAAACCACAGGGGCCTGCCCACGCTCAAGCAGCGTACGACGGATATGAAGGTTAGATTTAACATGGTGTTGTAGTAGATTAACCCGCCGGAGTTGGCTGCAAAAACGTGGACGCCGTACGGATCGATTGGAAAAGTTAGGTGGGTGGTGAGCTCGAGGGTGAGAAATATGTAGGAGATGGAAGCGGAAGTGACGCAGATGAGGTACATCAGGTCGGAGATGGAGAGAAAGAAGAAGGATAAAGTTGCTCCGTCTTTGATGCCCATGGAGGAGAATATCCGAATGGCCAGGAAATTCCCCATGATGCCGATACAGGAGAAGATGGCTTCTATTGCAGACAGTGCTGTTGTTTCTAGCGAGAAGTCCTCCTGTGGGACAGCGGGGTTCGCACGTAGGACAGTGGAGATGTCCTGTAGGACATTGGATGTATTGTCCTTTAGGGTAGCGAAGTTGTCCTGTAATACATCAGAGGAGTTGTCCTGTAGGACATGTTCCAATGTTGAGATGACGTGATTGGTCCTTGCCATTGTACTTGACTAGTCTAATATTAATTCACAAACAAAATGTATATAAATGTTAGTGTTGTAATATATTCGCCTGAAACAAGATTTATATTTTACTAGACCATAAGCAAGATCTACGAAAAATTGTATCATTACGCAGACTGTCAGAAAACGTAAGTTTTAAAATCCGCAAAACGAAACAAACAAAACACAAACCAACAAAAACACTAAGCAAACAAACACAGCACACTAAAACCAATATAAGCACAACACAATAAATACACACGTTAACAAAAAAACTTACAATACAATAGTTACAAAACAAACCACTGCATAAAGCATAAAATAAACAAAGCACAGCGAAACCGCAACACGATAAAACACAACGCAACATAAACAGAATAAAAAAAACACATCACATAAAAACAAAAATAACAACACAAATACGCAACACCGTAAAAGCACAACACAAACATAGCAAAGCACAAAAAAACTACAAGAAAATGCTAACAAAAACTCCACAACTCAACACAACTCCACAACTCAACACAACTCCACAACTCCACAACTCAACACAACTCCACAACTCAACACAACTCAACAAAACTTCACAACTCAACACAACTCCACAACTCCACAACTCAATACAACTCCACAACTTAACACAACTCAACACAACTCCACAACTCAACACAGCTCAATAACACAACTCAACACAACTCAACACAACTCCACAACTCAACACAACTCAACACAACTCCACAACTCAACACAACTCCACAACTCCACAACTCAACAACACAACTCCACAACTCAACAACACAACTCAAGAACACAACTCAACACAACTCGACAACTCAACACAACTCCACAACTTAACACAACTCAACACAACTCCACAACTCCACAACTCAACAACACAACCCCACAACTCAACAACACAACTCAATAACACAACTCAACACAACTCGACAACTCAACACAACTCCACAACTTAACACAACTCAACACAACTCCACAACTCAACACAACTCAACAACACAACTCCACAACTCAACAACACAACACAACTCAACAACACAACTCAAAAACACAACTCAATAACACAACTCAACACAACTCAACACAACGCAACACAACTCTATCCAATTTAACATCAGACAATAGTTAGCAACAAGATCCATTACACAATTGCTAACACGTATTCACAAATTAGTTTATATTTTTTTACAATAAAAAAAAATAAAAAATATATATATATATATTATATATTATAGCTTTTGTTAAAAATTACAAATTCAATAACAAATTTTTTAGTATATAAAATTTTTAAATTGGCTTTCTACCTTTCATCGGGTTTTACTAAAAATGTGCGTCAAACATAAACATTATCGCCCTTAGTTTCTAAACGTCATCCACAGAGTTCCGGCATTTATAATATAAAGGCTATAACATTTTTCTCAAATTTCTTGACATTTTTTAAATTTATTTTTTTCTTTATCAAAGCGTGACTTAAGTTTAATTTATCTATGCTGATATTTGAAATAACCGTAGCTGTCATTCAAAACAGATCAGCCTTTTTATTACCGAACAATGAGTTTAGAGTGTCATTAAGTAATTTGTCACCTTTTATGAGAGTCTAAATTGTATTAAAATGTATGTACTTGTTCTTAGCGAAAACACTGGGAAAACACATGAAAATGCGCTATTTGTTTTTAAAACTAAACACTTGTTCCGTAATTATATAATTACTTCAAGCGGGAAAATTTATAAACGTATTTGTGAACAGTTTTTTTTCGATACAATAATTGAGATTTTTTTTTCTCAAAACAGACGTGAACACATTAATCAATTACTACTCCATAAATTCGCGTGACACATTTTAAATTAATTTGATTGTCGGAGAACTAGTATTTTCAATAAACGCTGTTATTGTTTTCAATTACATACTTACCAGAGCGGAATGACACTAAATTACGCGTAGAAGTAATAAAATAAAATGTGTTGGATTAAAGCATTTACCAATAAAATACATAAACAAATAATAGCAACTGTTTCAAAATTAAAGTTGGTTTATAATTATAAAATTGTAGTTTTATTGATCCATGTTTTTGTTTGCAAAAACTATTTCTCAAACTCAGTTTAGAAAATGTAGGCTTTTAAAAATATAATTTAACTAGCCGTCCCGGCCAGGCCCTGCACTGGCATCTGTGAAAAACTATCTGCAAAGGACCATGACTTGTGTGTTTAGTAATCAGCATATACCCGGCATTGCCCACCCTAACCACAACCAACCAAAACACAAAAAGCGCAAACATAACACAAACACAAATACAAACACAAACGAAAACACAAAATCAAACGCAAAGACAAACCCAACCACAAACACAAAGAAAATACAAACACTTATGTTTTAAAGCTTCAAAGTTTCCGTCTGATGAACACAAATATTTCCTCTGTTTACCTTTATCTATAGTCTTTAACTGAGCCGAATCCAGGCGTCCTTTGGTGCCCTGGCAGAGTGTTTTTTGGCGCCCCGGGCCTTCCCGTGTTCGCTATGGCGCCTACGTTCGTTAGCCCATAAGACTAAGAATAAGTTGGGGTACTATAGTTGAATCAGGCGGTTCCGCCGGCGCCTCAGCATGATGCGATTTGGCGCCCCGGGCTAGAATATGAGCACTTTTCGTTTGCTTGCGTTTGTGTTTTCTTTGTGTTTGAGTTTGGGTTTACGTTTGTGGTTGGGTTTGTGTTTGCATTTGGATTTGGGTTTGTTTTTGTTTGCAGGACAAGCGCCAGGACATTATCTGCGAGGACCAATGTGAGCCAGGTGTGGCGGGCACGTGCAGCCATGGGCACATCTGCATCACCGTCAGCGGCTGCCACAGGTGCATGATCATCTTACGTAAGTCACCTGTCACGTGGGTTACTGCACTTGTGCATCGTTTGTACACTTAGATCTTGTGGTCGAATATGGGGGTGGGGGGGGGGGCAGTTAATCTATCAAAGTTAGGAGAATAAAAATCACACATATGCATTCATACACGCACACACACAGACACACGTACATATGTATATATAGGCTAAAATAATTAATGTTTTCTTCTTTATTATGATACATGGTTTTTGAAATATTTAAATTTAATCAACACAATTGCGTGTAGTAAAACGAGTAGCTAGAAGTTTGATGTGCTATGCCCTCCCCAGCCGGGAAACGCCAAATAATTTAATGCCCTCTGGTGATGTGTATATTATGTGTACATAATTCAATGCCCTCTGTTGATGTGTATATTATGTGTACATAATTTAATGCACTCTATTGATGTGTATATTATGTGTACATAAGTCAATGCCCTCTGTTGATGTGTATATTATGTGTACATAATTTAATGCACTCTGTTGATGTGTATAAGTATGTGTGTAAATAATTCAATGCCCTCTGTTGATGTGTATGTTATGTGTTTAAAAAATTCAACGCCCTATGGAGATGTGTCATTATCTGTGTATTATGCCCTCCCCAGCCGGAAAACGCCAGATAATTCAATGCCCTATGTTGATGTGTGCCAGCTTCTGCCAGTACGGCTACAAGCTGGGAGCTGACGGCTGTAGAGGCTGCGAATGTAATCCGGCTCCCACAGCTTAAAGCCTGTGTCACAGCTGTGAGTGTAATCCTGTATCGCATTTGTCAGACCCGTGAGCTGTTGTACGCGAATGTAGTGCTCACCTAGAGGTTGATGGAAATGTCGAGCTCTCACATCAACTTTCACATCAACTTTCACATCAACTTTTACATCAACTAACACGATAATAAAAAACATTTAAACAAAAGAACGCATTATCTCATTCGTTTGGTGCTTTTATACTTACTGTATAAGACGTAGTGAAATTAGTTACAGTGAAATAATCACTTCAGGGAAAACAGCGCTTGTAGTTTGGGGACAGAAACTCAATCCCAAAATCACAGTGCTGCTGCTTTGTAGGTTGTTTTAGGATGGACCAGAATTTACCCCCCCCCCACCCCCGAACGAAATGAAATTTATATAATTTATATAGAAAATATATACTTTCAACAATGTCCGCCCCCCCCCCTGGAAGAAACACTGGGATGGACAAAGGTGAGACCAATTCATAAAGAAAAGCTGGCTGAAATCGGAGTCGACGGGCTGAGACAAAATACTTCATTGTGCTGGAGTAATTCTTTACTATCAGGATTAAGAACGAAGAAAATAAAATTCTTATTGATGTTCTGGTTAAGAATTAGGTTTAGGTTTAAATTTAATTATAAGTTTAGCTTTTAAGCTTAGGTTATTTTTAGCTCTTGATTTAATATTTAGGACTATGATCATCAAAAGATCAAAATTTAGGCTTCAATTATTTAAGATAGATTCCCTATGCTAGCGCATCAGCTGATTTAGTGTTCAGATTTACCTCTGCTCTGGTAGAATTGAGCGTAGTTTGAGAACCGCTATAATAGTGTTGCAGCGTGTGAAGAAAGTTGTGATAAACTTCTGTCGGCTGTAGGTTCGGGACTTCAATACGGACGTCTGTGTAAACATGAAGACTCTGATCGTTCTTGTCGCAACTCTGGTTCTAGGTGAGTACGTGAGGTGGGATTGGTGAGTCAGAGCTGAGTGCTGAGTGATTGGTGAGTTTGTGATGAGTGATTGGTGTGTCAGTGCTGAGTGATTGGTGTGTACTTAATGTGTGATTGGTGAGTCAGTGGTGAGTGATTGGTGTGTAAGTGCTGAGTGATTGGTGATTATGTGCTGTGTGATTTGTGTGTCAATGCTGAGTGATTGGTGGGTTGTGATGAGTGATTGGTGAGTATGTGGGCTTATGTACTGTATATGTGTTAATAATTATCTGCCATACATACGATTAAATTTGGGCATGGAGTAGCAACTACAACTTAAAATATCCTAGATTTGCTGTTTTTGGTTTTATAAAAGAAATCTTGATCAATTAAACAATTAGTGTCCCTTCACCCCTAATTAAACTGACCAATCAAACAGCGACTGCATCGGTCCTGCAGCACAAGCGGCAGGTCACCTGTGAGAACCAATGTGAGCCAGGTGTGGCGGGCACGTGCAGCCATGGTCACGTGTGTTTGACCATCGGCGAGGGCGGCTGCACCAAGTGCATGATACTGTTACGTAAGTCGTGTGTTACTTAGGTTACTGAACGTGAGTCGTGTGTTACTTAGGTTACTGCACGTAAGTCATGTGTTACTTAGGTTACTGCACGTGAGTCGTGTGTTACTTAGGTTACTGCATGTGAGTCGTGTGTTACTTAGGTTACTGCACGTAAGTCACGTGTTACTTAGGTTACTGCACGTAAGTCGCGTGTTACTTAGGTTACTGCACGAAGGTCGTGTGTTACTTAGGTTACTTCATTGTGCTGGAGTAATTCTTTACTATCAGGATTAAGAACGAAGAAAATAAAATTCTTATTGATGTTCTGGTTAAGAATTAGGTTTAGGTTTAAATTTAATTATAAGTTTAGCTTTTAAGCTTAGGTTATTTTTAGCTCTTGATTTAATATTTAGGACTATGATCATCAAAAGATCAAAATTTAGGCTTAGGTTACTGCACGTAAGTCACGTGTTACTTAGGTTACTGCACGTAAGTCATGTGTTACTTAGGTTACTGCACGTGAGTCGTGTGTTACTTAGGTTACTGCACGTAAGTCACGTGTTACTTAGGTTACTGCACGTAAGTCGCGTGTTACTTAGGTTACTGCACGAAGGTCGTGTGTTACTTAGGTTACTGCACTTAAGTCGTGTGTTACTTAGGTGACTGCACGTGAGTAGTGTGTTACTTAGGCTACTAGGTTACTTAGGTTACTGCATGATACTGTTACGTAAGTCGTGTGGTACTTAGATTACTGCACGTGCGCATCATAAGGACACTTTCCTACTGTGGTTGGTTGGTGTGGGGGGTGGGGGGGGGTCACCTGTTTCTGTGACCTCGGCCTATGAAATGATAGAGCGACCATCACAATGCCCAGCCGCCTTTACTTTCCCTAACGTGAGTTAGGTATCCATCAGAGCTGAGTGGACTAAGGGTGTTCTACTGACTTAAACCCAGATTGGAACTAGAGACATTCAATTAGCAGCCTAACGCTCTACTGCTTGGCCACGCCGTCCCATGATATATCAAGGCTAAGAGGACGAGTTTGACATCAGTTAATTCTGCAATCTCTTTTAAATGTCATGTTTTAATTGTAACCATGGTTGATGATTATTATAATGATCCCATGTAATGATAAAAGTTACGTTCCTTAAGCGGTCAGAAAATATTACAGGCAAATCTATCTACTACTTTTATGTATTATGTTTCGATGTTTCTAGTTTCTAAATATATAATTATATGTGTATTATGCCCTCCCCAGCCGGAAAACGCCAGATAATTCAATGCCCTATGGTGATGTGTGCCAGCTTCTGCCAGTACGGCTACAAGGTCGGAGCTGACGGCTGTAGAGGCTGCGAGTGTAATCCGGCTCCCACAGCTTAAAGCCTGTGTCACAGCTGCGAGACCCTTGTACTGTTGTACTTGAATACAGTGCTCACCTAGAGACAGATTACATTGTCACGCCAACAAAACGACAATAAAACATCATCGAAACGAAAATCACGTTGGTTTGGTTATTTTATATTTGTTGTGTAAGACGTAGTGAAATTAGTTGCTTTGCTAAAAATCTTCCCAGACAGAGGAGGCTTGTTAGCTGTTACAGCAACACATTGTGGAAAAACTCCAAAATCAAACAATCGTTAGTTTGTTCATATGTGGTTAGTATGTTACGGAAGCGAATTCAGAAAGAAAAGCAGACTGAAGTCTGAGTCAGCGGGCCCTTTGGCACATAACTTGTTGTCTTGTACTACTTGATTATGTAGGGGGAATTCTTCAATGATAAAAATTAAGAACGAAGAAAAATAAATTTTCAGTCTCATCCCTTTAACTTTGCAATAGTTTAATCATTTCCCCAACTCTAAACCGAACACTAATCATGATTATCCGTTAAACCTAAATTAGCAAGCATAGTTCATTTGTGGATATGGTTTAAGCTACAATACATGGATCGTGTCCTTGCAAGTAGACCTATGACACAAAAATATAGGATTCTCAAAAACTCTGTATCTGATGTTTATCAGTTCACTTTACAGAGAAATCGCTCTTAACTTTAGGACCTATTCGTAAAGGTTTAACTTCTGTTAAAGAGATAAATAACTCAGAACGTTAATTCGTGTATAGACAAATTCTATAACAGCAAAAATTAAAAATTAACTTAAATGAAATTAAATTTGAGTTTCTATATACCACTATAGTACCAGATATAACACAACATATCACAAAGATAAACCAACCCCGACCCTATAGTGATATATAATATATTCACATATTTCAAGACTGTAATTCTTTAATGTAGCATTAAAATTATAGATTGAGATTTCAACGAATTTGATCATCTTTGCTAAACCAGAGAGTCTCGAGTTCGAACCCTCGGGCAGATGAGACTCGTTATTTGGGGACAGCCACTCTTCTAGGAGAGACAACTCCAAAATCAAACAATTGCTGCCTTGTAGTTTGTTCTTGGTTGGACAAAGGCTATGGAAGCAAATCCAAAAAAGAAAAGCAGGCTGAAATCTGAGACAATGGCGCATAACCAATTGACACGTAATCCTTAATTGTGATGGAGGTGTGGTCAAGTTGGAAAAAAGCTCATGGTTGATAAATTCGAAAAAGTCTCGAGTTCAAACCCTCTGGCAGATAAGGCTCGATCCCTTCCAACACTAAAAATTAAGAACGAAGAAGAAAGAAGAAGATCTTTGGCTGATATAATATACTGCGTTGGTCTGAGAGTAACAAGTTACAATTATACTTGTAATCTTTTAGCGACAAAAATGAGATCAATGACGACAACGTTTTTAGCTGATTATTTTTGCCCTACAGTTAATTAACAAAACAACACGAGTTCATTTACCTAATGACGTTATCGGCACAGGATTCATTCAGTCGAGTTCAAGGATAAAATATAGCAACCACAAGGAGGCCGTTTTTGGCACAATAAAATTCTTGTTATAAAATTTAATATTTAATTTAAAAAATAAAACAAGCTTGATTCCAAGGTATAGACTATGCCATACAAGGGTCATCAATATACATGTTTGGTCACAGAATGGTCGTATAACAGCGAAGTACCTAATGCAGGTTAGGTGTTGTTGGGAGGGGGGTGGGGGGGGGGGGGCTGTGGACACAACGAAGACCACGTGATAAGTTTTGAGAACCGTTGAAACAAAGCTTAGACGCGGGAACCAAATCTGAGATAAAAATCTGTCGTCTGGGTGACAGGGACTCAAAGCTTAACGTCTGCTTCACAATGAAGGTCTTCATCGTTCTCTGTGTTTTTGTTGCTCTAGGTAGGTCTACATTACACTTACATCTGTAGTATACATTCACTTGTAAAGCTAGAGTTACATCTGCTCCATACAATCATAGGTAAGTCTACATTACACTTACATATGTAGTATACATAACAGGTAAATCTGCATTACACTTACATCTGTAACTTACATTCACATGTAAATCTAGAGTTACATCTGCTCCATACAATCATAGGTAAGTCTACATTAAACTAACATCTGAATAATATGCATAGGTAAGTCTACATTACACGTACATCTGAATTATATGCATAGGTAAGTCTACATTACACTAACATCTGAATTATATGCATAGGTAAGTCTACATTACACTAACATCTGAATTATATGCATAGGTAAGTCTACACTACACTTACATCTGTAATATGCATTAATAGGTCAATATTAGAATTAAATTTGTAACATACATCCGGTCAACAGGTGAGTCTAATTTCTTCTGTTTTGACCAACAAAACAGGTAAGTTGGACTCTATAGGTACATGTTCATGTTTTGTAAAATTCTGCTGCATTACAGTTACCAATAATGTCTGGTCTTTAAATATACATCAGTTTAAAATACAGGCAAACAGTACCATTATACAAAAGGTGATTCTATGCATATTATAATTTTAAAATAAGATTTCACCTTATCCATTTAAAGTCAAGCTCTTCTGTCGAACAGAACTATAGAAGATGAAGAAGAGTTCATATTTCTTGACATTGACTTACAAGAATTTATTGTATGATAATCACTATACTCAGCCGCCTCTTCTCGCTATAACGTTAGTCAGGTACCCACGGGAGTGGACACAGTGGCGTTCTGCAAACTCCTGATCAAGATCCAAACTCGAGACTTTCGGGTTAGCAGTCGAACGCTTAACCACTCGACCACTTCGTACGACCACTATGAATAAACATTCTAATATTCCTTCCACCTGTTTATCTGTTATCAACGTGCCGTCGTATGCTCTACCGTCCGACCACTAAAATGTTATGTATGACAAAACTTCCACCTGTATCTACTAGGTGCTGCATCTGTTATCAACGTGCCGTCGAAGCGTCAAGAGACCGTATGTCAGGATGAGTGTGAGCCTGGTTCTAACACCTGCCCGCTGCACAAGTGGTGCATGAACATCGGCGGCTGTCATAGGTGCATGTTCATTTTACGTGAGTCTCAGCTTGTTCATTTTACGTGCCACCTTGTCCATATTATTTGTGCCACCATGTTCATGTTAGGTAAGGTTCATTATGTTTATATTTCGTGAGTATTACCATGTTCATATTACATAATCGTCATCATGTTGGTATTAGGTAAGGGTCATTATGTTCATATTTTGTGTCACTATCTTCATATTACCCGAGTGTAACCATGTTCATATCACTTGGGTCCCAGTTACTAAATGAAAAATCTACGCTTAAAAACCGAGTAATTGCAATTTGTTCCAGAAAGTTATACATATAAATAAACTGTGCACATGATATTTTACTAAAACGAAAATGGTGTTGGATTTAGTGAAATTGTTCTTAAACAGTTGTACCAAAACACACAAATACTATTTAGTTCTTGATTAAAATTTTCAGATATCCTAAAATTCGGATGATCTCAAATTACTTTACAGGGAGATCCCTGCAAATACTTCATAGAAAAATCGTACGTTTGTTTATGAATATCAGAGTTTCTGTCAGGCATCTCTTCAGGCGGGCAGTGTCCCTACCCCCGAGAACACGTCTATCTCCCCACCCCAGCGAACGAAATAAACCGATATATATTTGAAAGCTAGGACACGTTATGTAAACCACATGTATGTGCTATTCCCTATCTAAGACGTTATTTAAAAAAAAACATGTGTGCTATTCCCCAGCTCAGACACGTTATGTAAAAAATGTATGTGCTATTCCCCATGTACGACATTATGTAAGCCACATATATGTACTATTCCCCAGCTGAGACGTTATGTAAACCACATATATGTGCAATTCCCCAGCTAAGACATACTGTGTAAACCACATGTATGTGCTATTCCCCAGCTATTATGTAAAACATATGTGTGCTATTCCCCAGCTATTATGTAAAACATATATGTGCTATTCCCCAGCTATTATGTAAAACATATATGTGCTATTCCCCAGCTATTATGTAAAACATATGTGTGCTATTCCCCAGCTATTATGTAAAACATATATGTGCTATTCCCCAGCTATTATGTAAAACGTATATGTGCTATTCCCCAGCTATTATGTAAAACGTATATGTGCTATTCCCCAGCTATTATGTAAAACGTATATGTGCTATTCCCCAGCTATTATGTAAAACGTATATGTGCTATTCCCCAGCTATTATGTAAAACATATATGTGCTATTCCCCAGCTATTATGTAAAACGTATATGTGCTATTCCCCAGCTATTATGTAAAACGTATATGTGCTATTCCCCAGCTATTATGTAAAACATATATGTGCTATTCCCCAGCTAAGCGTCAGATCGCCTGCCCCATGTATATGTGTAACAGCTTCTGCCCGTACGGTCACAAGGTCGGAGCTGATGGGTGCGTCACGTGTGGGTGTAACACGGCTCCCGTTGTCTGATACTCCAGCTGCCAACATCATCACACACCAACTGCCAACATCACCACACACCAACTGCCAACATCACCACACACCAACTGCCAACATCACCACACACCAGCTGCCAACATCACCACACACCAGCTTCCAACATCCTTGTCAACAGCTGTCCGATGTTTCAACATCAGTGAGATAACAACATGAATACATTGTTCAAGAACCTGTTAAACAGATATCGCAATAAACTACAAGAAAAGTATTTTCACATTTGGTATTTTTTCTTAAAAAAAAAAGCTTCTAATGTTTTCACTGTCTTAAACAAGAAAAAAAACGCACCTAACAATAAACAAAATCAAAATTGTATGTTTGCATTTGTTGGCTTTTACAATTTTTAAATTTAAAATCACTCTCTGCTCTGGGATTACTAAATTGGTTTATTATCATGTCTTGTAGTAGAAAGGACCTTTTGTTCGCGTAATATTCAGACTAGCTCCAATTTTAGGAGTTAGTTAATTAAATTTTTTGTTTCAACGGCTGGCTATTGAAACACCAATGTTGCCAGAGAAATATTTTAAAACTGGGCAAATAACGAAGCAAATTTTTCACTGAACAACACTGGACTTAAATTGTTCACACCACTACAGACGTACAAGAAACACCAACACGAACTGAAAGTATTAGCAAATATTTTATTGCTTATTGCATCCACAATTTATTATTAGAGTTGCTTAATTATTAGAAATAAAATAATCTTATATATATGCACATATCTGACTGCATGTATGGTTCGAGTTAATTTCAGCATTTGTACTCTATAAAAGTGTAGCGTGCAATGACATTTGACCTTTGGCCTTATTTCTTCATGCACACGTTGCCACAGATAGAGTGAGTACACACTGTTCCAACCACACACGCGAACGGATAAAACGACATCTGAGGGTAGATGGTTGGCACCGGATCTAGACCCAGCACACACAAGTCAATCTTGTCACAGAATGCTCGGGGGACGGGCGAACCTGGGAATAGAGGATAAAAATAGATACACGGAATCCCGATGTTTTTTTAAAAATATCAGTGTTCAATGCTATGTTAGTTTTAGAATAAAATTTGTAAAATACAAAATAGATATAATAAAAAAACATTTTAGCTCAAAATGTTTAAACATGCAAACACACTCACAAAGACGCATAAACACACCCATGTATGGTTCATATATTTGTAAATAAATTAAATAAATAAAATAAAATAAATAAAGTAAATAAAATAAAAAAATAAATAAATAAATAAAATAAAATAAAATAAATAAAATAAATAAAATAAATAAAATAAATAAAATAAATAAAATAAATAAAATAAATAAAATAAATAAAATAAATAAAATAAATAAAATAAATAAAATAAATAAAATAAATAAAAAAAATAAAATAAAAAAAATAAATAAATAAAATAAATAAAATAAATAAAATAAATAAAATAAATAAAATAAATAAAATAAATAAAATAAATAAAATAAATAAAATAAATAAAATAAATAAAATAAATAAAATAAATAAAATAAATAAAATAAATAAAATAAATAAAATAAATAAAATAAATAAAATAAATAAAATAAATGAAATAAATAAAATCAAATAAAAATAAATAAATAAATAAAATATATAAAATTTAAATAAAATTTAAATAAATAAATCAACAAATAAACAAATAAACAAACGAATAAACGAATAAACAAATAAACGAATAGACGAATAAAAAAATAAACGAATAAATGAATAAACGAATAAATGAATAAACGAATAAATGAATAAATAAATAAAGGAATAAATGAATACATGAATAAAGAAATAAAGGAATTAACGAATAAATGAATAATTGAATAACTGAAAATAAATAAATAACTAAATAAATAAAAAAAATGAAAAAATGAATAAACTAATAAACGAATAAACTAACAAACTAATGAGCTAATAAACTAATGAATGAATACATGAATACATTAATACAATAAAACATGAATAAATGAAATTAAATAAATAAATAAATATATGTATATAAATAAGTATGTCAATATTTCAGCAAATAATATATAATAAAATATGAATTCTTGGGAATTAACCTTTATCGGATCACTTAAAATATATTTAGGATACACTTTAGTCATTATAAAATACATGTAATTTTTTAAGTATAAACAATGTTATAGATCTAGCAATATTTACACTTCTATAAAACACTGGTTAATTTTTCTCACCCGCCGCTAAAGACAGTAGAGCCAAGAAAATGAAGATCTTCATCACGGAGTTCTCTGACAACACTTTGACGATACTGGAGCTAATGACTGACTCTAGAACCTCACAGCCCGACTTTCAGAGATAAGGAATTTTAAAAGTTATGTTTTTAATCCAGATAACAAATTGAATGCTTATCATTTCTTGTTATATTTTCGTTCTTAATTCTGGCAAGGAAGGTAATTTAGTTTTAAACCATTAAATATTACTTGTCAACAGTTTATGCGATATATTATTTGTTTTAGTCCTAGCTTACAGGAAAACAATGAAAAATTGTACACGTTCACTCTCATTAAGTATGCCGAGTTATACGTTGTATGCATACCTTATAGCAATTTAATTTAACATATTTAGGCCAAGGTTAGCAGTTAACAAAAACTGTTATAACTCAATATGAGGTCGGTTTGACGGGGAAAAAAACTTGTAACAATCTATAAAGTATAATACAAACTAGTTTTTATAATACTCTACAGGTCAGAAAAGCACGTTTGGAACAGTAAAGGCGGCTGCGAATGTACCTAACTACAATATCCCTACAAATATCCAGGTCACTGAAATAGGTAAACTAACGTTCAAAAGGGTACTTTACAAGTCAGAAAAGAAAATGTAATACCTGTATTGGTAACAGCGGTAGTCTTTTATTAAAATGTATTGCTGAGATCGAACGAACTGTTGGAGTAACTAGCTTAGGATAAAATATTTTAAGATTTCTAGAATGTTCTCTATCAGCTCACATCCCAATAGCACGGCAGGTTAGTGTAACTGAAGTCATAGTTAGGCGATTGTTGCACATTAACTTGATCAATTAAAACTTGATACGAGGCCTAGGTGATGGATTGAATTAGATATTTGTTATTGTAAGTTCATCATCTCATCATCATCTTTTCCCGTAAATGCCCAGGACACACGGGGCAGAGGAAGTAGAGTTCACCTGTTTCAGAGACCCCCGCATATGAAGGGATAGTGTGGTCAGCACTGTGCCCAGCCGCCTTTGTTTCCCTAACGTGAGTTAGGTACCCATCAGTGCTAGGTAGACTAAGGTACTATTCTACTGACTTGAACCCGGATTCGAACTCGAAATTTTCGGGCTAGCAGTCTAACTCTCTACGGCCAGTTACAAGGACACAAAGGTAACACTTCTATTTTTAGATGCTTATATGTTTCGATAAACACCACGGCAAGACGGCAACATTTACAAGATCAGAAATTCTGCCACTTATAAACTCTTAACTATTGTTTTGTGTGAGTGAAGACTCCCAATTCTCACATCCTGTTGGCTTTTTGAAATAAGTATAACAGAATTTCAGTTAATTTAAAAAAAAAATGCCGAAACCACAACGTTCCAATGCATTCATTGACTGATAAAAACCACAAGACAAAACTCGGATCGTGTCCTACCAGATGTTCATATTTGCTCACACGCCTAGTGTGCAGTTTTTCTTCCAGACGTTTTTCTCCGGGGGGGGGGCACTTAATATTTTCCGGGGGGGGGGGGCGGGGGGGGGGGGGGGCGGTGTACATTTTCCGGGGGGACGGACACTAGTAAAAGTATATGTTTACTATATAAATTCCATCTCGTTGGGGGGGGGGGTATATTAGTCACCAGGACGCACCAATGACATGAGCGTTTATGTATGGCACCTTCTTGAATAAGACAGTATTGTAATGGACATCAACGAGTTGACGAGAATCCTGCCATCATGATTATTGCGCTTACAATTTAATACAAGTATTTGAAGTTTCCTCGACCTTACGTGAACATTAATGGCTTTTAAGACATTGGAAATAGAACATATACCACTTCCGGTAACTGGAAATTGCTCAAAAGTTGACACAGACCCACATTTGGTATTATACTTATATATCAAAATTCGTCAACACAACTGAAACGTACTAAAGTTATCGTGTTACAGACGCACAGATATACAGACAACAATTGGTTTTTTTTGTGTCAATATTAACTTCATGGCATTCAATCTTCTGTCTACCCCAATTTCTAGCAAATTTTAAAAATAAAATTATATTTTTTTTAAACCACATGACATAGTTATGCCATGTTTATGTAAATTTCCAGTAACAAAATGTAAACAACAAAATTGTTAAGTCCACATAAAACCAAACAGATGTTTATAACTATGTTTAGTTCAATAACATCGTACATAATTTAAAAAAAAACAACATTTTTTAATAGACCTTTCGAATAATTTCGAGAATATTCTCGGTTGGATCAATAACGAAGGATCCAATATAATAACATTAATTCCCAGACATCAATTTCTCAGTGCCAGACATGTACTCACACTTGACCGTCATAGACAGATGGAGAACGTAAAGTTTGTATTGTGAACTAAGTGACATAACAGTTAGACTGGAACAGGTGTATGGGTTAGTTGTTTTTTTTATAATTAATGACAATAACGACTGAAAGCATGCTGATAATAACACGAAATGGAGTGTCAGTGAATACATAGGGACAAAGATTATATACAGTCAGTGATTATATGGAACAAATAAATACATAAGGTCAGTGATTAAATAGAACCAATAATTACATAGAGCCAATTATTCCATAGGGCCAATGATTACATAAAGTCAGCGATTTTATAGAGCCAATGATTACATAGATTCAATAATTGCATACAGTGATTACATAGAGTCAATGATTACATAGAGCTAATGCTTACATAGGGCAACTGATTACATAAAGCTAATGATTACATTAAGCCAATGATTACATAGGGCCAGTGATTATATAGAGCCGATGATTACATAGATTCAATAATTACATACAAACAGTGATTACATAGAGCCAATGATTACATAGAACTATTGCGTACATGGGGCCAATGATTACACAGAACTAATGCTTACATAGGGCCAATGATTACATAGAACTAATGCTTACATAGGGTCAATGATTACATAAAGCTAATGATTACTTAAAGCCAATGATTACATAAAGCTAGTGATTACATAAAGCCAATGATTACATAGGGCCAGTGATTACATCGGACCAGCGATTCCATGAGACATTTGATGCCATATTTATCAGACGCATATGTTTCCACAGTAG